CTGCTTGAAGACTGCAGCCCACAAGCTGCATGGGCAGTTGAAGATTATTTTGTTAACATTATTGTCCCATGCTTCTTTCAGACCCTTTTGAAAAACCAGGGCTTCATGCACCACCAGGCTTTCTATGGCTCTGGTCCTGTGCACGGCTGCTCTCCAGAGTGTGCTGACACTTGCAGATGAGAGAGGAGGAGTAGGGACATGCACACAACTCAGCCTCATGCCCTACTTGTCTGTGTGCTGGAGACAGTCTTTGTCTGTTGTGCTTCTCTGCAGAGCTGTAGAAGGAGCGAGGAAGAGCTTGTCAGAGGGAAGAAGCCTGTGTACAGGGCTGTGTCACACCAGCCTGCCTTTGTCTGCCATCTCATCTTCCTTTGGAGAGGCCAGCTTGGCTGGGGATGGAGCTGGGAGCTTTCCCAGTGGCCCACATCTGCAGTTAGCTGACGAGGATGGAGGGCAAGTGCAGCCACCCCTATCTCATTTGTGCTGCAGGAAGGAGCAGCCAGGGGAATTTGAATGAGGCTGGGTAAAGAGGGAAAGAACATGAGCGTGTTTGTGTGTGGAAAGGATTTGGAGGGGAGATACTGGAAAGCAAAGCTAGCTCTCATGCCCTAAGAAGTTGCTGAAGAAGCGGGACAAGTAGGAGTAGCAGTAGTGAATAGCAGTGCTGCAAAGCTGGATGCCTGCAGAGCAGTTCCTTTGTTCCGATCAGCTTGTTGGGGAATCTGCATGATTTTAATATACAACTCCCTGGGGCTTCATGATGAAACATGTTTTCCTTCTATTTTCTCCCTCAAACAAGCACGCACAGCTGTTTCATGCACACCTAGTTGTGAGACCACATGCGTAGCTACGTAAGTCACACCAAGTCCCAGCGCAGGTACGTTATCGTGATCTTGTGAACCCATGTCCTGTTTGATGAGCAGGACTGCAACAATAACTATGGACAGATGTGTTTATTAATATAATTTGAGTTTATTATATCTAATATGTGACTGGCCTAATCACCATTGAGTCTGAGAACAACACCCTTTTTTCCTCTAATGGCCTACACAGACAGAGTAGATGTGCTAGTGTCATACTTTGGACCCCTTTACTGTAACAACATCCCAGCTGGGATGGAAGCAGAGGGCATCCTGCTTTTCCCTCTGAGGCTCTTGGTGTGTGTTCCTGGACGATGAGCCAACTCAGACAGCCACAGTGGGACAATCATTCCCTGTGTATCACAAGCCAGCCCAAATGATAAGACAAGGGACTGGGCAGACATACCTACCAACAGAATGTGATGGTCAAGAACAAGAAAGGGCACACCTAGTTTGCAGGTTCTGGAGTACATATGAGCATGTGAGTGTGCTCTCCTTGGTTGCTAATACTGCTTACAAGTGACAGAGGAAAGAGGCAGGTTGCACACTGTGCATGTGAATACATCCCACACAGGGCTGATTTTGCCCTTTGTAAGGTGTTTTTAGTGAACCTATTCTGCAAGAACATTTTCCCCTCTGCAACTTGTGTGATATTCACAGCCAGCTGGTGGAAACAGTGGTTTTGGTTTATTTTTCCCTGCCCATCCCCTTCCTCTGATTATTGGAAATGAAAGGAGGTAAAGGCAGAGCTGAGGCTGTGCATTGCACAGTGTGCTTGTTCTGGCCCCATTGGCAGCATCCTGAGCCTGATGATGAATGAGCTTGTTGTGTGAGATCCTCCACTGAGGCTTCAGCATCTCTAATAAGGTGGCCAGCGTTTCACTGTCCTCTGTGCCTGCCTTTGCTTTATTAACTGCACTGCAGCAATAGTAAGCTGGAGCACTGGGCCAGCGTGATCAGAAGAAAAGAGGCTGAGGAGGAGCTGGAGGGAAGAAGATATGAGGATAGCATGGGAGGAGACACAGAGCAGGAGAAGGAAAGCACAGTGGGCTATTAAGGCAGAGGATTAAAACATGGGTTGCTGCTGGAGTGATGCATGCAGGTCTGCACAGAGCTGCTGCTGGCAGTCAGGGGAGGCAAAGGATGTTTAGGGAGGAGGAGGCAGAGCCAGACCTTGGTCTTAATGTCTCTTGGGTGCTGGACCTGTGCTGGTGACTGCAAGCCGGCACCTGCTCCACATGCACACAGCAAGGGCTGGCTGGAGCTGTCCTCCTTTTTTCCCTTGTGCTGATTTCGTGCCCTTTAAACTATGCTGGTGGTGCATCTGGCCCTTTCTCCTGACCACTGCAAGTAGCTCAGGGGGGTCATTTGGCCTATGCTGCTTTTTGCTCAGAAGAACCAGTCTTTCCAAAGATGTCCCGGGCCAGTTCTGTCGGGATGCTAGGACTGTACGGACTGTAGTAAGGATGTGCAGAGGGCAGCCTTGCTGGCAGCCAGTTGCTGTGCCTGTCTAACTTGCAGGTTGAATAGAGACCAGACACATAGACTGAGAGAAGAGTTGAGTTCAAAGTATTTGGTGGAAAGAAAGGCCTCTTGCAAAATTTTTCCTGTATAGTCCAAGAGGAAGTATGTGCTAGGGCCCAGCCCCTGGTGTCTCCTGATAGCGATCCAGGTCTCTCCTGGGAAGCAGGACATTTGTGACCCACTGGGGGTGTATATGTGCCTTTACAAATTTACTTTTTCACAGCCAAAACTGTGAGGCAGCCAAGTATTTATTTGGTTAAACCCACATGCCCCTTAGGATAGACTCAATTAGGGGATCTAGAGCTTTGCAGTCCAGACAGGAGGCTGATTTCTTGGTTTGTCCTGGATTAGGTGATGTGAGAGAGTAAGTGATTTGACATAGCTCCCAGAGGCTTTAGATACCCAAATTCCAGCTAACTCCCAGCTGAGATGGAATTTGCACTGTCTGAATCTCACCCTCAGGCTTCTCTCTGACAACCCATTTTGTTTCTCTTCTAAAGGTTATGTCTAGATGAGGGAAATGGCTCCTGACTTCCTCCTATTTGCTGGCTGCCTTCCCCAACACCCCAGCGCATGACAGCCTGTGGGGAGGAGCTGCTGCCAGACCCCCAGTCACGCTCCGCTCCCCAAAATGCCCCATGCCAGGAGCCGTGCTGCACCAGCCTCCAGTGTCAGGCTTGTGACCCCTCCTCTTCTCCCACATAACTGGGGATCTGGTGCTAATGATCCCAGCTGAGATCGCTGCCGCTGGGAGCCAGCTCAGCTCTCGCTTGGCAGAGCAGAGGTGCAGAGGGCTGGCAGATGGGAGGGCTGGGCGGTAGGCATGCCAATGGGATCAGCACCCAGCTCGTGTGCGTGCAGATGGGGCGTTGTTGATACGAATGGATCCTGGCAGCATCCCGGTGCCAAGTTCATGCTTGGTTCTCAGAGGGACCGCCCTGGTCCTGGCTGCTTGGACTGCTCCCAGGTGCCTTGTGGGAAGGCACTGAGCTGGGGGAAGGCACCAGAACAGTTCCCAGCCCTCTGACCCATCTTGCCAAAGGGAGAAGGAGGAAAAGGAGGGTGGAGAAAGAAGTTCCTCAAGCAACATGCACCTTGATCTGTTTAGGTACAAAGGTCTCTTTTAGGTACAATCTAAGGCAGGTACAAAGGTTTTGTTCACTGGGAGAACCACATGCAGCAACACGTTCCCAAGGGCCAGTCCCTGCCCAACACAGTACCATGGCAGGATCTGATCCAGCCCTGCCCCTTCGCTTGGGACTACTGTCCAAACTGTGGGCAGATCAACTCAGGTGAGGAGGCGGGCTGTTGGGTCCTGGCCATGTTGGAAGTAAAGAGAGCTCCTTCACAGGAAGCTCTCTATTGACAGCCATTTCTTCTGAGTTTGAGCTTAGTTATGTATGCTAAGGCTGGAGGCAGGCAGGGGAGGGATTGCATATGCTTGTTCTTACCAAGCGCTACATCTGTATTGCTCCTCTGCCCTATATTGCTGATGGCCTTTGCATCTGCTGTGCCCTCACTCCGTCTGCTTGCCCCACACTCTCCACACTGACAGATTTGCTGCAAACCTTTCTCCCTCTGTATCTGTTCCAATAATCCTGCAACTTCAGAGTTAATGGTTAACACTGAGCCTGCCTATCAGGAGAATTGCCTTTGCAATGGAATATGTCAGCCTTGAGAATATATCACAGGCAGAGGAAGGCTTAGTGGGACTCCAAGTTCAAGTTCAGTGGGACAGTGAACAGTGGGCCATGGAAAGCGCTGCTGAAGGTCTTTTTATCAGGACCAGCATCCGCAGTAAAATATCTTGCCACAAGGTTCCAGGCACTGCACAGGCAGGAAATTGTAGCTTCACAATGCAGTCCTTATTCTTGTCCTTCCCCCGCCAAGCAAGCATGACTGTGGCAGGGAAGTTTCACTGACACATAATTCATCATTTTTAGTGGTGGTGGTTTTGACAACAATATTTTCCCCATTGCTTTCTTGAAACTTCCCCGCTGCTTTAGCAAACTGAACAATGTTCAGCTAGCAAGGTTCAGCTCCTTCCAGCAGGCAACAGAGAAGAAGAGAGCCTATGAATGACTGCAGAGGACCACTTACTTGAACTAGACCTCTTGCTCTGGTCTCTGAAGGGTGGTAAGAAAGCATGGCAGTAGACAGGTCCCAGTGAGGCACCACATTAAATGTCATGGCACCCAGGAAGCAAATGAATGAATTCTGCAGCAGTCATTGTGAACTGAAGGGTATCTCTCTTGGCAAAATGTCATGCTGTGTGTGCGCAGGACTTCAGTGCACTAGTAGAGGTGAGTTGGGTTCATTCCTCCCCTCTTGGAGATATTGGTTCCAACCCAGAGTTTCTATAGGACTTGTAGTTCAAGTTGTCCCCCAGTCAGGAGGACCCCAAGTCTTCCCTTCAAGGAGAATTCAGGCTCCTGATCATCATTCTGTACCAGGGGTGAGAATTTTCAAACCAATTCTGCATGAATATCACACTGATAAACCAGGTATACTTGTCTGTATAGGAAGAGGAGGAATAGGGTGTTAGATGCTGGATAGGATCCCTCAAGTTTCCATTTTCAGGATTTTCATAACACTATGGGTTCTTTTCCTATGCAGCTGGCTCAGAGAAACACCATCCAAACCTTCATTCCTGTGCAGAAAATGGAGAAAGGCCTTTTGCTGGAGCATGTCCTGCCCAACCTGAAAGTGCCTCAGAGCTATGAAGTTCGTCTGACACCCATCACCAGCTTTGGGGCTGGAGATATGGCTACCCGCATCATCCGGTACATGGAACGTAGGTGTCTCCTCCTCGGTCCTGGCTACGAGAGAAGGTCCGAGCCTCAGGCCCAGGGACATGGGCGTGCGTAGATGTTGTCTGCTGTGACCCTTAGGTGGATCTCTCTGCTCTACAGAGTTTTGATGGCACAGTGCTATCACATTTGGCTGTGTTTTGGTTGTTGCCATCAATGCGGAGCACTAGATAGACACTTCTGAGGGTCTCTGTCCTTTACTCAGCAGTTCTGACTCACACTCTCTACTCTGTGGACAGGAGAGTCCCAAAACCCCATTCCCCCATCAGGCCACGCTACAGCTTGCCACGGTACAGTGGCATATTATAGAGGACAGTCACTGGACACTGCATATTAGCCACATGCCCATAAAAGTAAGAGGATTTCAGGGGGCTTCAGTTCTTTCCAGAGTTGAATGCACAGTTCAGTAGTAAACCTGTAGGTCTCTCTGATACCCTGAATCCCAGATGATCCCACTGATATACACTGACCACATTTCTCTCCCCGGCATCCCAACAACTCACTAGATAGACCCCCTATTCCCTCAACCCTCTGATTTCTTTGCTCTCCTCAGGAGTTTGGACCCTCTATTTCAGCAGAAAGTACAGATCCCCCTCCTCCTATGTTTGCATGATTTCACAAAACCCTCTTGTCCTGTGAAATGACGTCTGGTGTCCCCAGCATAGCTGTTGTCTCAAACTTCCACAGTGTCTCAAACTGGTTTGATGTCCCCGTTTGATATCAGGCTTTGGTAGCTAAGTAGGTGTTATCTCAGTGATGCTCCTGAAAGAAACTGCTTGGGTTGTCAGACGGGTTCCCCTGTGCAATCCTGGGATCACCAACCCTTAGGTAGAGTTTTCTTAAGGTCTGTTACTGCTTGATTCACATTCAGCATCTTGTTCCATCACCAAGGCAGACACCAAGCACTGTTGTTTCACAGAGATGCTGCTAGGAGCACCTATGACCTTTCTCAATGTGTTCGTTTCATTTTCTGACTTTGTTTGTGTTTCGAAGGAGTACTAGCTGTTCTGACTTGTTTTTCTGTTTCCTCTTCCAGCAATCAACTATCCCAACCCAACAGGTAAGTAGCAAGACCTCCTTTGTATTTATGCTTGGAATGTAATGCATGTTAGTCGTAAGTGCTCCAGCAGATCAGGAATATACAGCTGACTTTGCCAGATGTCTTTCCCCGAAAGAGGATGAAATTGCATACATGAATGCTTCCAATAAATAATGCCATTTTTTGTACCTGGAGTTGTTGCCAGGAGAGATATGCCTCCCAGCCACACCTGATACCTCTGACTGGACAGACTGTGATCTTAACCCACCCTCTCCTTAACATTAGCAGTCTGCATACACTAAGCATTTAGAGTTATTAAATGTTGCCCAAAATATCTGTGTTTAAGGAATGTTTATCCCCCATCCTCTTCTGACCAGGAATGATACCACCTGCCATCTCTGCAGGCTGGTGTGGAACAGTTTCCAACGCAGATGTGGTTCCTTTTGCAAACTCCTTGAGCATAGTCCCTTTCTTCTTCCCCTCAAGTGTCACCACTGTTTACTTGCTTATTTACCTTCTGGTCATTCCTGCCACGATGCAGGCCCATCTTTATTGAGCACCCAGAGTTCTCATTGATTTTGAAAGTAGAATACACATCTCAGAATGATGGTCTTTAACAAGAATATGATGGTGCCCATAGAGCATAAAAGAGGATTTCTAGCATGCTGGAAGTAGTGATTGAGAGATCTTCAGGGGATGAAACAAAGTCCCTTTACTTTGATTGCTAGACATAAGACCAGGCAAAGCTCTTGAGCAGAGAGAGATAGACTACTTGCTGTTGGTCCATGGTGAGCAGGTGATTGTGTGTAGCTGTTTCTTTCTCCTGTTTCCAGCTACTGAGTCAGCATTCAGTCATTTTATATATTACTCTATGTATGTATAGGCAAGTACTACTGCTTCACTGCAGAGTAGCCATGAGGAGAAGCCAGGGTTAGGCAATGGCAGCCAGGAATCAGGGTATGGGGTTATCTTGTTAAGACAGCCATGAGACATTCACTCTTGCAAGTTCACACCTCTGCCTGAGAGCGGGAGCTTCTTTCTTACATAGTCAGAGGGATTGTGTGGCTCTAACTCCTGATTCCTTTTGCTTTGCTTTTCCTCACTTTCTGATTCTCTTTAAATATTCTCTGTAGAAGACTCATTGGAAAACACTGAGCTTATTGCCCGGGACACACTTCAGAATGTGTCCCTTGGTACTTGCTGGAGGAGACAAGCATCCCAGCCCACAGGTGGAAGTGAAAAAATCTAGCCTTTTGCCACTTGCCTTTACACTGCATAAATCACTGTTAAATCCAGAACAACTTCAGTCCTAATTGTGTCAGTCTCTTGGGGTCTTTGTAAACTAAGGCTTCAGCCTGCTCACCTGGGATTGCTTTGGCAGCTTGATTGAGACCAGAACAACTGCACTAAATTTGCCTATGGTGGAGCATAACTCAGCCACACTTGTATTTTCATGCGGTAAATCCAACACTGAGTTTCTCTTTGATACAAGTTACCCAGCCTGCAGTGGATATTAGGACATGGGTTCATGCCTTGAGACTGAATGTGAAAAGACTTGCTTTCAGAGATGCCCCCTCCTTTTCACCTGCTGCCAGTGAAATGTGAGCCCAAAGGCCCCTGGGCCACAGCTCAGTTCCCAGATCCTCATCCTAATACATGGAAATCCCTCTTATTTTCCCACTTCCCCTGCTACCACCTCCTCAGGGAAAAGGCTTGGCACAGCATTGTAAAAGTATCTTCATGCTAGGCTGCCCAGCCAAATTCTGGGAGCAAACATTGAGAGCTCTCAAGTGAAAGGCAAAGATTAGATGATTAATGCCTCTGGCAGCCTGATCCAGGGGCATGCACAATGGTGATTAATTTACAAACTCTGAGAGTCACTTAATGCAATTATTTCTTCATGCATTTTCTCTCTCAGACTAATAAGATGTTAATGACATTGGGGCAGGCATGCATGTGGCATGGTTACAGAGCCAGGTTCTGGGGTTATAAAGCAATAACAAAGTAAAAGCAGAGGAAGTGAACAAAAGACATCAAGGATTTCAAATATTTAGAGGTTATCAGTAAGACTGACTGTAACTCCTAAAAATCAGTTGATCTGGTTCTAAAAAAAACCCCAAAATTTATCTTTAAAAAAACTGACTTAGAATTATCTTAATTCTACAGTATTACCTTAAAGATCTCTTAGAATAACTGGTCGTTTTAATGTCATTACCAAATTCCAGTGCTGGGCAATTTGCTGTGTCCTTCTTACTTCTCCCATGCTTCACTTTCTAACCCAAACCTTGCAGTGCTGCCTTGCAAGCTATTCCAGCTCATCAGCAGTGGATGATTTGGTTTCCCTGGCTCTAGCAGAAGTAGCCTTGCAACCTTGGAGATGAAGACATCAAGAAACATATGGGTTTGCTGGGGTTTTTTTCCTCTTGGCCATGTGTCTTGCCCTTCCAAAGCAGTAACACTATTTCTCATGTATCTACAGTCTGGCTGTGTGTGTTGCAAAAATGTTTTGGTATCATGGAAAAGTACAGTGCGCGGTGATCAGTTGCAGATGCTGGTTGCTGTAGATTATCCAGGCTCCTTGCTTACTCTCTAATGCTTGTGTGTCCCGTCTCTGATAATGCCTCAAAGTCCAGAGGAATCTGAGTTTGTTGCCCCATGAGCATGTGAGAATGACATGTGAACCTGGTGTCCGGAGCTTGATTCCTCAAATCTGTGCCCATTCCTCGGGAATTGGTATAACAGAAAGGTTAAAAAAGGTGACTGCCACCAATTCCTGTATCCTGATGGCAAAGAGGACTGTCTGGGCCATATTATCTCCTTGTCACAGATGGAGATATGAAAGCAGATGACAATGCAGTATGACCCAGCCTGTTATGGTATTGCGAAGCTTTCTTCCATTACTAGTTAAAAATGTTTTAGAGACTTACCACGATAGATGCTTTTTCTTAGATCCCAGCATACTTTTAGGTTGCAATACAGTTTTCATTATTTTCATCATCTAGATGGGGAAACCGATCTACAGAGAGAAAATGATAGCCTGTAGGTCACGCAGCAAGTCTGCAACAGAGCTGGGGCTCGGGGCATGGTCCCTTATACTCCAAGCCAGTTTCAGTCATCAGATCCCAGCCAAATGACAAAGGCAATTTTATTCAAGTGCATTCCATCTGCGATTCACCCATAGTCTGCAGCTAGAATAGGATTATTATTATTTGCATTCATCTGGCAGACAGTATTTCAGGCCTAGGGATGGCTTCCCCCTAAGGACTTGAAATGCAAGCCTTCATTATGTTTCTCAAGAAGGCAAAGTAACAAGAAATGCTAAGGATCTCTGCGCAGAGAAGGGTCTCTCCACGGGGGATGCAGGGAGGTGTCCGTAACCAGGAGCAAACATCTCTGCACTTTTAGCTGCTGCCACTGCAAAACCTGCCAAGGAAATCTGTTTGGTGAAGACAGCACTATCTCCAACCTTTGAGGAACCAGCTCCTGTGCCACCTCCACCTTGCCTCTGACAATCCAGAGAACAACTGTGTTCAATATTTAAATCCACTGTTTAATTTTTAAACAGGAAGCTTCCTTTGCACCACAGTGCTGAGCCAGGATCCCTGGCAGATGGTGTGAGTCTGCAGGAAGGTTTGCTTCACACAGACAAGGTCAACAGATCACCGCTGTGGCCTCTGAGACACAGAAGGTCATTTAAAAGTTTTCTTTGCCAGGTTTCCCCTTGTGAGCTTTACTGATAACAGTCCAGAGCTGGCATGCTGGCAGTGTCCCAAACCACACCAAACATCTCTTCATTATTCTGGGCACGTTCACTTCTAGGTCAGAGAAATGCCAGAGCTTCGCCTTCCTGTGGCTTGTTTTAAACCAAAGGACCAGGAGTCAGAGCACTTGGATTCTGTTTCCAGCTTTGGCACTGCCTTTGTTGACCTTAAATGTGCTTCTCTATACTATCATGCATCTGTTTCCCCAGGTGTAATGCAGGAGATATATAGAAAGAGGCATTACTACCTCACAGAGATGTTAAGAAACCTTGTTCATTAGTTGTTGCAAAGTGCCTTGAGATCCCAAGCTAAGCAGAGGCAACATGCTGTAGTTACAAACTCCTTCACAGCAAATGGTGTTGCATATAAGCTTGGTTACATTTTGGTGTCTGTGGGATAGCTAGGACCCTTTCCTACTTTATGCTCTCTGCCTCCTGCAAGTAGCTGCATCTGAAAGAGGACGGAGTCTGTCTCCTCCTGTGGGTGTGGGGGACTTCTTACCAGTGAAGCACAGTAGCCCACCAGCTGACACAACCAGTGTGTGTCACTTTGGTGGCTTTGATGGCAGGCTGGGTTAGGGTTTGGGACTGAGGCTGTCCTCAGTCCTCTTGTCTTGCACAGCTCTCTCTGGTCTCCACCTGAGCTTGGACTTTCTCCTTAATCTGCCTTTCCTTTGATTTCTGTGCCTTGTCCTTTAAGGGTTTGCTCCTTCTCAACCAGTTGCCTGGCTGGCCTCTGTGTTAGAGCTTTATTCCCTCTTACAGGAATTTTGTGTTGGAGAAAGATGTCCCCTTTCTCCTCTGATGGTCAGAGATGCAAGCCATCCCAGTCCCTTTGATTGAAAAAGGACATTCATGGTGGATCCTGACATCATAATAGGATAGGTTTAGGATAATGCCATCATAAGAGAAAACTTGTGTGTTTTAAATGCAGCTGGCAACCTGTGAGCTGAAGCCACACAAATGTTTGTCTTTGTTCTGATAGAGAGAAGTCAGAGCATTAGAGCAACCCAGAAATAACAGAAAGCTTTAGGGCTTCAGTCTGTCCCCTGAGGACCAGTGGGTGTCTGAGACAGCCACAAACTCCCTGCTCTCAGTCATGAGGGCTGGAGAAGGACACTGAGAAGCTGATTTCTTACCCTTTTCCCCCTCCACCTCCATGTGCTGTGGATGAAGGAGGTCCACCACATCCCATGTAGTTGGCCCACCTCAGACCCCGCCAGCACCTGCCCTGTCATCTGTTTCCCACTCCTCCTTCATCTCCAGCTGCCATGTGCCTCTCTGTGCTCAGAGCTGCAGAGCAGTGGCTAACTTGGATTAGGATGCTAATTAGAAATGAGAGGATTGTATTGAAAGCACTTAGCCAGGGTTAATCAGCAGTTAAGTGGCCAGCCCAACCAAGCTCCCAATGGCTGTGCTCAGCTTGCAGGAGCAGCATTTCCCCCTGAGCTTACAAAAAACCCATCTGCCCTGATCCGTGAACCAAGCCCTTGGCTTGCAGCACAGTGCCCAGCCTATGGTGGCAAAGACCTTTTTGTGAGCCATAGCAGGAGGCTGCCTCCACTTTTCTCACAGCTTTGATGAGATGCTGGAGAGAGACAGGCAAGAAGGGGAACCCATTTCCCTACCACAGGGGTGTGCAGGCTATTGATTTCTGTTTGGGTGATGGTCATTTTCATTTCCAGATGGGAGGGGATGCAGGGGGCCTTAGCTGCAGAGTAGGAACCAGGACATGTAGCATCTCAGAGTGGAGATGCTGTTCATTCATGGGTGGTCTTTTCTCTCTGGTACAAGGTGGCAGATTTTGGTGTGCATGGAAGGTGTGTGAAACTCCTACAGCACAGAGTTCCATGTCGGGAGCTTTTGGCCCTGGCATTGCAGAAAGCCCACCCCATCCTTGGCACCCAGCCCATAGGTTGCTGACCCTGCTCTGCCCTACATGTTCTACCAGAGTCACCCATGCTAGGACAGAGAGCTTCCTGACCAGGAACCAGAACAAACCATCACTGAAGATGCAGCAATGTAGGAGCCCAAGTAGACATTTGGGCTTCTCTTCATCTGGGCATGATAAGAGTAACAGTGAGGGGGAAAAACCCCCAAAAGTTGAATCTTGCACCAGCATGCCATGGATGAGGTTTCTAGCACTTCCCAAGCCTTTAGCAAGAGCCTAGATTTCCTCTCTGTATGTATTCTTCCATGGCTTTTAAGTACTTTATCTTTCAGTTTCATAGCACATATCCTTGCTCTTATATAAAGGCAGAAGGTAGAGATCTGCACTTACTGTGTCTGTGCCACTCACGAGGTCTGAGATCCCACTCTCAACCCATTCTCCGGCTCTGGTTTTTGCCCAGGGACATTTTAGAACACAAAGTACTTTTTACATAGGTCTTGGACCAGTTTTCTCTTCTGCCTGTTTCCTCCATTCCGTTACTACTGTGTCTGCAGTGTAAAGCTGGTTCTTAGCCTTTTTTTTCGTGTGGCTTGGGAATCTCTTTTTTACCACAGAGGTTACCATCTTCAGCCTAATCAAGTCCAATTCATTCCAATCTCTGCAAGACGATATTGGGTTACGTCTATGCACAAGATTTTTTCACCTGTCTTACAATATTGCTGTAGGGTGTAACTGTCTTGTGGTAGTAATAAAAGTGAGCCCTGCTGCACACGTGGTTGATCCTACATAAAAATCTTTTACCTACATGACTTATTTTGTTAGGGGAACCAGCATAAGCTGCAATATCAAACGTGCCTTTTAGCTGGTATAAATTGGATATACTCTAGCTAAATGACACATTCATAGCACTGAGCTGACCTCTTCTCCGCAGCTGATTTTTTTTCATGTGTGCCATAGTTTAGTTAAATATATAGCCCAAAGGGGGGTCATCTGCTGGAGCTTTTTCCTCTCTCCCGGGGAAATTATTCTACCATCAAGTTGTTCTGGTTTAAAAGCCTCTGTGGCCTGTTTGCTTTCAATGCTTTTTTTTACCTTCCTCTATGTTTGCCCCTTCAGACCTCCCAGCAGAATCTCTCTTTCTCTTTAGCCTTCCTCCATTTCGTCAAACCATCACATCCATCAACCTGGATTAAGCCTTCCATAATCATACTAATAACAGATATACTCCTTTTCACCCTCCTCCTGAGGTTGGGGGCTGCCCACCTGTCCCCAGCTTGACGCAGAGCCTCAGTGGTGATGTAGCAGTGCAGTGAGACATGCTGCAGGCACCCAGGCAGCCTTGGGGAGGAGGTTCGAGAAGTGGCAGCTGACCACCCTGTTCCCTTCCCCACAGATAACACTTGCCGCTTTGAGGATGAGAAGATCTGTGGCTTCGTGCAGGACAAGATGGACAATTTTGACTGGACCCGGCAGAACGCCCTGACGCAGAACCCTAAGCGCACCGTCAACACAGGGCCCCCCACGGACATCAGTGGTACGCCGGAGGGTAAGCACACATCTAGGGTTCTTTTGGCTTGGCTGTGGAGGCGAGATGTATACCGTCGCTCGCCAGGAGTCCTACAGCTCTGGGAGCTGGTGGAGTGCTGATCTGCTTTCCACACAACATGCTCCTCCTCTGCACGGGGTGCAGGGAGCAGGCAGTTAATTTGCATGTTACTGATTGGCGTTAAACACACAATTAAAACACCCACGACTTTGTTTAAGGGAATAGTGTGAGCATTAGTTCTTGTTACCAGCTAATTGCCTGCTGCCTAATGCCCTTGTCCCATCTGATGCTTATTTTGAAGTCAAAAAAGGATAAGCAAGCAGAACATCACTAACAACTAGAAACAACCCTGCTGGTTTTAGCTGGCTGTTTCCTTAAAGAAGGTCTTGTGGAGGCAGACAGATCTCCTTAGTAATAAGCAGGAGCATGAGAGACCAGGTGGGAGTTGCCTGTGGGGTGGCAGCAAGTGCCTCACCTCCAGCTGGAAGAGACTGGTGTCATGTATTGCTCATGTGAGCTGTGGACAGAGTACATGCCCTCATTTTAGCTGGACATTACTTTCCCCTTTCTCTAATGACGAAAGTAAATTTGTATGCAAGCACAAATCTTTGAACTCAGAAAAAATGGGAAACATCCAATGGCTAGATAAGGAAATGGCTTTTCCCATTAGTGTTCAGTAGACCAGCCTGATCGAGCATTGAAAACTATGCCAACAAATTAAATAGCTAATCTGTTCTTCCCTGAGTTGTTAACAACCACCTTGGTATTGTTCTCTTTAGACAACAATATTGTTTAGGCCAGATATACCAAATACTCACTCCCTCAGCTTGAGGCAGAGGAATTAGGCTGCAGTGTTTTCTCCCTTGTTTTTCTGGTTTTCTCCTTACATGGTGCAGTCAGCTCTGGGGCTCCTCGTGCCACAGGAGGAAGGCTCATTTTGCACCCAGACAGATGTGTGTGCGCATGTTCAAGCACTCATCTGCTGAATGCTTTCACAGAGGATCTGCTGGCGCCCATCCCTCCTGCTCTCCCCTCTACTGCAGAGGGGAGGCACTGCAGACATCCTGCAGGTGTCTCTGGCTGGGATCGCGGTGGATGCAGAGCCAATAAGGAGAGCAAGGCCATATTTCTGAGAGGAGGAGTGGTCTCCCAGCCTCCAGCGTCCCATCACTTGCAGAAAGAGAGAAGCAGTGCCTTTCCCCACCTTTCCCTCTTGTTTTGTAGGTTATTACATGTTCATCGAGGCGTCCCGGCCCCGGGTAACAGGAGACAAAGCCCGGCTCATCAGCCCCCTCTACAACATTACTGCCAAGTATTACTGTGTCTCCTTCTACTACCACATGTACGGGAAGCACATTGGTGAGTACCCTCTGGGGAAAGGTAAACCCAGCATAGTGCAGGCTGTTGGGGGAGACCTCCAGCCTCTGGCTCCATGAGCTGTGCCTGCAGCCAGCAATTCGGGAAGGTGGGAATCCTACTCCAGTGCTCGAAGCACCAGGGAGGGATGCTGCTGTGAGATACTTGTCCTTTACTGACACCTGAGCAGTGTCAGGGTTGCGAGGCTGTTGCAGCCCATCCTCAAGGCAGTATCTTACAGTCAGCCATCATCCTTTCCCCTCTGGCTCAATCCTCCTCTAGGTATAAGGCTCCCTGCTCTCCACAAAAAAGAGCATTGTACCCATGTGTGTACATTTTCCCCACTCCGGGCCACAGCCACCTTGCTCCAGGCAGCAGAGCAGCAGGTGGACAGTCCATCTATTGGAAGGGAGACAGCAATGGAGGGGCTTTGTGGCACCAGACAGCTCTGTGGTGGCTGCAGCTATTTTGGGGTGGGCAGCATTCATGTTCCTTCAGCTGTGTCTGCTCTGCCTGACTCCCTCCTCTCTAACTGTAAGCCTAAGAGAGCAGCAAGCATCCCAGAAGCGCCTGGCACACTAATGAGTTTCCATATCTAGTCAAGGAGCAATTGCTAATTCGTCACCTCTTGATTATAATTTCATTAATTTGAATAATAGATGCACTCTTCCCACGGCATGCTGGGTTATTAATCACCTGCTGGACTGGAGCCTGACTGAAAAATCAGGGCCCAGGCAGAAATGTGTCCACCCTTCAGTAAACGGGGTTAATTAACAGTTCTCTGCTCAGCACCATTGATGTCACTGGGAGGGAACACGCTTCTGAGCCTGGCCACCACATCTCCACACACGTGTGGCACGGCAGAGAGGTTAAGCTGCAAAATCTATGATCTCCTTCTCTCAGCAGGGTTGAGGCTGAAACCTTCTCCCCATGGATGTCAGGGGGTAAGGGCTGGGCTGTGGGTCACTGAGCAGGTCTGCTTCTCTGTCTTTGCTCTGAGGGTTCATATGTGCTGTCTGCACTCAGAGTCTGGCTAGGTTGGATGTGTTTGCACCACCTGTATTCCCTCTGCAGCCAGTATGCTCCATGCTGTATTCACGTGGTGACAGGTTGCTCAGGCAGAGCACTGGCAACATAGGTACACACTGAGTTTTCCTGGTCTTGCTTAGCTGACAGAATCCAGTTGTTAATGCTGGCTGGCGAACTCCCTTGTTGCCTGCAGTTGCCTGCTGTGGTTAGTCAATTGTTGCCCAATTCCTGCATGTCTTTTCCTGGCGGTTTTAAAAGGGATATCATCTTTGTGATTGCAATGAAAGGTGGACCAGACCAGTGGGAGACTGGCAAGGAAAGAAGATGTGGAAGGAGGAGGCTTCTCTTGCTTTGTTTCCTTTACAAGGACAGCTATGTGTCATACTTCGAAGTTAAGTTCACGAGGAAAGTAAAAACCCATCAGCTTTTGCTTCCTTTTGGAAGAGAGCTCTGTTTCACAGCTCTCATGCGGTGATCTGTCTGTAGATGGGGTGGACTGGGCATGCGAGGGAATTAATTCATTGTGCATTTTTGGCTTTTAGTGTTTAACTCTTTATTCATTTTCTCCACCCACAAATTGCCCAGAGCAAAAGATACAGTGACTCCCAAGACCTCAGAAAATTGCTGAGGAGTGCAATTTTCTATTCCTTGGCTTCAGGCACCTTTTATACCTGTTGATTTTCCATTCATACTCCATGTTGCTGCTCCTGCCTGCTCCCTGTTCTTCCCCTTGTTGCACAAAGGGACTGACGAATTTGTATGAGGTGGATAGACTCTTTAATGCCACACAATGATTTCCAGGGTGGGTGCTGCTGAGCCGAGAGCAAATAAATTATTTAAAAATTAGATTGACTAGATAGAGTCAGGGAATGAAAAAGAAAGAAATGAGAAAAAGTTATTTTCCTCTTGGCCTCTGGAACATGTGCCTTGGTCTAGCGAACCCACAGTATATATATCTGCCTGCAAATTGAACTTCAGTACCTTGTATCAGCTCTCTACTCAGGAGACAGTATATCTTTCAGGGCCAGTCATTATATTCTGTAATTGTTTTGGCTTCTATTCTACATAGCAGGGCACCAGGGTGAAACTGAGACCTCTCCAGGAAAAATCGGAATGCCTGGTAATCCTAAAACTGCCTGGTTTTTATCATTCCCACTATGCTATTAACTAAATCTTATGCTACTTGGTCATTTTCCATACTGCCACGCTGGCAGCACTCTGTCATAGCTGTCTTCATACCTGCACACACACGAACGAACCTGCGTTTGGGACTCGCTCTGTTTCACCAGCAGGTCTAATGGCTCATCTACATTTCTAATGCACTTTGTTTATTCCCTGGCTGGTTTTGCTTGTGTGAAGGTTGTGAAACCCTGCCACAAAGCTTCGGTTTGTTCAGATGACGCCAGGCTTTATCTATGCCCTTGGTGGCTGAAGCCCTCTCAGAGTCCACTGGGGAAGTGGCAGCCTGCCTGAGGGCAAAGCAAGTTCATTCAGGTCATCTTCTTTAGCCCTGGGTTGGAAGAGAGTGCACCTCTCAGATACAGGGCTCCTCACTATGACTCCTTCTGTGAGATGAGAAGGCACAGCCTGGCCTTCTAGCTGTATTACGTGAGGAACCATATGAAGGTAAAGATGGGGTGACTACAGCCCTGGGCCATGTCCTGCTCCCATACAGCCAGCTGTACCTGATGCCTGCAGCCACGGCCCCAGCCCCTGTCTCACCCAGTGCCAGCCGAGTCCTACCAAGCCAGACGCAGAGCCCTGCTGAGCCAGCTGTAGCACTTAGCAAAAGCCTACCAGATTGCTCCTCTTGGCAACAGGACATCTCCCAGACCGAGCCTCTCCTAGCAGCTCCAGCTCCATTGTGGAGCAAACCAAAGCTTTGTCACTATGAAAAGAAGCTGTATAAAATCCCGACATTTATTTATTTTTTTAATAACCCTTTTATTACCTTTTTTCCCCCTCTACAGAACTTGAAAGCTGGCTTACTCTCACAATTTGACTATAAAATATCCATAGCCATCCAGGCAAATCTTCCCTGGGAGAGTTCCCAGACACTACTCGTTTATAATAGATATGATGAAAGAGAGAAACAGAATACAAATGGAGCATTTGTAGCCATGGTATAAGATACTCAGCAAGTAGCAGAGCAGGGTGACGTTGAATATGAGAGAGCAGGGTGAAGGGGAGCTCCCTGGAGACAATTCCCATTCTTCTGGAATTACCTGGCCATTGGTTTTCCTTCCTCTAGTGTCCTCCAGAGCAAGCATTCGCATTGCCCTACAATCCTGCCAGCCCAAACACAAAAATCGGGGGGAGCGGAAGGAAAGAAATCCTGTTTCCATGAGGTATTCCAAACCAAGGGTGTCTTGCTTGCAGAAGGCATAGATATATCAAATGAGGAACTGTTTGTTGCTTCAGGAGAGGGAGTTAGCCAAAGCAGGCAGTGACCAGTTGCCCAGTTCACAAAGTCTCTTTGTTGAGTTGGCTTGGTGAGTGAGCATCACAGTTAGGAGCAGGTCCTCAAATCCTTGCTTCAACCATCAGACTTCTCTTCCTCCCTTTCCAGGGGCTGCCTGGGCAGGGGATGCTTTGATAGGACAGTGCTGTCGATGGGCTGCTCCCACTGCAGTCCTGTGTCACGTCTCTCATGTCTCCTAGCTCAGTTGTAGCCAGGTTACGATCTGAACAGCCTCCTGCCCACTGCTGGATGCTCTTGCAGACCCTGCAGCAAGAGAGGCCTGCAAGGAAGGTTGCTCAGAGGGAAGAGGAAATTTCAGTGGATGTAGCTTTTTGTGTAGCCAACACTGTAATAGCTCCCTATCTCAATGAGCCAGTGACTGTGCTTGTGGAGAGAACGCTTGGGTCAAAGATTTTACTTACTCTCAGGAGTACTTACATAAAAGCAGTGACACAGGATGTACCGAAGCAGCGGTTTTTTAGATTACTTCTGATTTGTCAGCTCACTGGCAGACCATTTTCAAACTGTTTGCTGTGGTTTTAATAGCAGTAGTCACTACATACAGGCTTATGATGAGATATGGTCTCAGAGAGGAGAGAAGACAAAGACATCTTGCCCTGGGATACTTCCCAAGATGGGACTGTTCAGCTGCTACCTATAGTGAAAGTGTCAAGTCCTGAGCTTCAAGAGCTGGGCCTGACTGAATGCAATGTCTGGGACCCTGCTCTTGGCTTGCAATTTTTGTACTTTCAGCCTCCTTTCTGCACTAGCAGTGTCATGGTCTTGGCCAGTTCCTCTCCCAGAAATCACAGAATAGGTTAATTTTCTGGCATGTATCCAGCACCAGTGAAGCTCATGGTGCTGTTAAAGGTGCTTTTGTTCCATCTTAGTGCTGACATAGACCTTATCTGACCACCCCAGCTAAGTCTAGCCTATGTATAATCAGGATGGGAAGCTTCCAGTGAAATTCTAAACTACTCGTTGCTCTCTACAGCTTCATGAGGAGGAGAAGTGGAGAGAGAGGTGCTGATCTCTTCCTGGTACCCAGAGACAGGACGTATGGGAATGGTTCAAAACTGCATCAGGGGAGGATCTGACTAGATATTGGGAGACGTTTCTTTACTGAGAGGGTGGTCAGACACTGGAACAGGCTTCCTGGAGATGTGATTGAAGTAGGCAGTTGGACTAAATGGTGGTTGTCAGTCCCTTCCAACTGAAGTATTCCTATTCCTATTTCCATTCTATTCCATTCCATTCTATACTATTTTATGCTATTTTATTCTATTCTGTTCTAAGATAATGTGAGGAACAGGGATTTTGCTTCTGAGACAGTAGCAACGAGATCATTGCTTTCCACAGCATCCAAGTTCAAGAAAGCCATAAGCTGTCTCAGAGGTCATGGTGGATGATCACACATAGGAACTAGTGTTAGCACAGATGCCATGTGGCTGCATCTTGTTTCTGACAAGTGACAGTAGTCAGAGCTGTCAGGTCACACAGATTGATAGGTATG